GCCAATGATGATGATGACAGGGATGATTATTATTATGGCCCAGTGTGGACAAAAGCAACTTACATAAGATAAAAATACAAATTATAAAGAGCAGTTTTACCTTAATAACCAGTTTATGGTCCCAACTTCATTCTTTGAATCTGGAGTGATAAGTAGAATGAATACTGGATAGAAGCTCTGGTTCTGCTTTCATCAGGCTTATGTTAAAAAAGTAAAAATTTTAAGGTAGGCTTAAAAATATCTTTCTAAAATTACTATTATTTACTTTTATTTATTTATTTTTTAAAATACAGACAGGGTCTTGCCATGGTGCTCTGGCTGGCCTTGAACTCCTGGGCTCAACTGATCCTCCCACCTCAGCCTCCCAAGTAGCTGGGATTACAGGTGTGTGCCACTGTGTTTGGCTAAAAATAGGCTTTTAAATCCTGCTATGATCTTACTCTCATCTTCTGTAAAACAGTAATAATCCTCACCAATTGTATCAGTCTGTTTGCACACTGCTATAAAGAACTACCTGAGACTGGGCGCGGTGGCTCACGCCTGTAATCCCAGCACTTTGGGAGGCCAAGGCAGGCAGATCATGAGGTCAGGAGATCAAGACCATCCTGGCTAACATGGTGAAACTCTCTCCCTACTAAAAATACAAAAAATTAGCCAGGCATGATGGCAGGTGCCTGTAATCCCAGCTACTTAGGAGGCTGAGGCAGGGGAATCACTTGAACCTAGGAGGCATAGGTTGCAGTGAGCCGAGATTGTGCTACTGCGCCATTGCACCCCCAGCCTGGGCGACAGAGCGAGACTCAGTCTCAAAAAAAAAAAAAAAAAAAACCAAAAAAACAAAAACCAAAAACCAAAAACCAAAAAACTGACTTGAGACTACGTAATTTATGAAGAAAAGAGGTTTAACTGACTCACAGGCTTAACAGGAAGGATGACCGGGAGGCCTCAAGAAACTTACAATCACGGTGGAAGGTGAAGGGGAAGCAACGACCTTCTTCACATGGTGGCAGGGGAGAGAGACAGAGAGCAATGGAGGAAGTGCCACATTTTTAAACCATCAGATCTTGTGAGAACTCTATCATGAGAACAGCAAGGGGAAAGAGCACCCCATGATCCAATCACTTGCCACCAGGCCTTTCCTTCAACATGTGGGGATTACAATTTAACATGAGATTTGGATGGGGACACGGAGCCAAACCATATTACCAATTTTGTAGAGTGGTTGTGAAGGTGAAATGAAAACTCCTTGAGGGCTGGACTATGCCTCACACCTATAGCATAATGTCCACAGCACCTGATTTAATAATTTGCACACAGAAGGAGATTAACTAAATATTTGCTAAATACTGAGTGAATAAAAGATCTGAGAGTCAAAAACCTTAGCTGAAAATTTCTCTGCTTACCAAAAACTCCATAGAAAAAAGTAGTACTCGGAAGGCTTTCTTGGAGTATAGATAGTTCACACATTTCTCTAGTTACTATCAAGTCCATCCCTTAATCAGAAAAAATGTATTATTTGGGCCTTTGCAGGGATGATTTTACTATATTGTGCTTTAGCCTTATGACATTTAAAAAGTTTTAAGGTGCTGTCATACATAACTTGCCATTGTCACAGTAGCTATTAGATATAGTTGGGATTTGTATTCACCACATTGCACAGCTCACTCTTGAATAGGAATACAGGAAACGTTGCTCTAAAATCTCAGTGCTAGAAAATGTGGAAACTTTCTGAGAAACTAGCCTTTAGATCTGATGTTATGCACAAAGTAAAACTTGTAAACTATCATATTTTCCTTTGTTTTGGCCCAAGATAAGTATAGAACAGATTTTATGGTACATGTGGAACAAACGTACAGCACCCTATCACATGGATTTGGTACCTATGCTAGATTATCTGTTGTCAACGTGTTAAGTCTTATCTTTGGCATTATCTTCCTTTGTCCTTTTCCTTTATTTCTATATCTATTCTTTCTTAATCCCTTTTAATTGCATGTATTCATCATGTAAGTTTCTTGAAGCTGATTTTGGAAAGAATAAGTACATATATAAATTAATAAAACAGGGGAGATGTTTGCTGTTGTTTGTTTTTCCTTCAGAATAGCCTTTCACCTTATTAGGGCCAATGACCAGATCAATATGCTTTTCTAGATTTTTGATTTCACTCCAACAGTTATTGCACAGCAAAATGAGGCTAACCATTAAGGAATTTCCCTGCAATCAAGGTGATTTGACTGTTCAATACTTGTTTTTTTCTAAAGGATCTTAGAATATTGAAGATAATCAAAACAATAAAAGTACTCTTGTTTTTCAATGTAATTATATGGGTTAGGATTTCCAGTTAGAAGACAGGTAGTGTTGCTGTGAAAAGTCAGGTGACCTGGCTTCTGATCCAGATTATGTGTTCAACCAGTTTGGTGACCATAGGTAAACCATATAATCTTTCTGGGTCTTAGTTTCTTCAGAGGTTGCACAATACCAGCTTTTCCCAAACAGTGGTTTGTCATACACTAGGATGCCATGATATGTTAATTGTTGTTCCATTAAAAAAAGGGGCAAATAAGTTTAGACAAGATTGGACTAAATGAAAATAAACCGTTTCTTAATGCTGGGATTTATAAGAGCCTTTGTGACACTTGGTTGAGGGAGAATAGAGTGCATAGTATTATCCAAACTTGCCTTTTATGGGAGCATATCAATAGAAAAATTTAAGTAATGACTAGGTGCAAAATATAACCTGTCCTCTCTCCCACTGTACCCCAACCTCTCACATGTTAACAGCTGGAATATATATATTGAATTATGCAAAAAGGTGTGGACAGGGTCTTCTGTAAGATGATGGACTTTATCTACATTTAGAAAGAGAGAAAGTTTCAGCTCATGGTAAATTAGGTAAATCATCAGATGAAATTACATATGCTGCCAAGCTCTAGATCCAGAACATTGAGTTAATTGGGTACCCTTGACATTTTGGCAAGCCAGTATGGTTGACGATATACTAATACACAGATACACACACACAAACACACACAGAGCAAGAGTGTGCATGTGTGAACAACAGCATAAAGCAGCAAGAATCCTAAACTATATTGCTTGAAATAGCTTAAAAGGATAGTGACTAATCTCTCCCTTATCTAAACTTCTGTGAAACTTGGCATATATGACTCCTATAGACACAATGATATATGGCTTTGTACTGGCATGGAGTATGAGAAAGAGCTTTATAGTCATAAAGTCCTGGATGAGAATCTCAGCTGTTCTCATTTCTGTACATGTAACTCCTCAATGAACTTCAGTTTTCTCACTTATAAAGATAAATCTCTAACCCTGTAGCTTGTTTTAATGGTTAATTGATAAGCATATGTAAAGCAGCTAGCAGATTACTTAGTACACAGAAGACACTCAACAAAATATCTTTTACCTTCCATTATTGATAGTCCTCAGAGTACAGAGACTAGGGTTTGTCAGGCACAATATCTTATATGTATGTGATACATACTCATAAGAGTTTTGACATGAATAAACTTTAATTTCCAAACAGTTAAGTTTCACATATCTTTCAAGACCTGACTCCAATATTACTTCTTCTGTACATTGTCTGATTATCTCAGCTGTAAAAAATTTTTTCCTTTGGCCTTGAACTCTCTAAGTATTTTGCTTTTATTTCTATGTCATTTAGCACATTTTTTCTTCATTTCCTGTTACTCCTAGACAGCCTGTATTTTCCCTTTAAGATGTAATATCTTCTTATAGGCAGAAAACATTTTATTATCCTGTTTCCCTTGCAGTGCTCAGCACAGGTCTTCTTCAAAAAACATTTCTTAAACAAGTGAAAGTGGTGGCATACTTTGACTGAGAGTAGTAACTAACAGAGTTTTCCTCAACCCCAGTTAGGGCCCTTCAGGCCTTTCCATTGCTTGTTAGATGGCTTCCTCTTTTTTATAAGTCAATCTTGCCATTAATCCTACATCTAAAAAAAAGTTCTGAATGTTCTTTTCTACGAAGCCAGCCTGAGAAGTCATTTGACCCCCATTCTGTTTGTGCCTACTGTACCTTAGGCATACCTCTATAATAATGTTTACATATAGTATTATAATTCTATTTTTATAAGAGTAGGAACTTCTGGAGGGCAGGATCCATGTCTGCATCATTGTTCCCTAACAGATTTGGGGCACATAGTACATATCCCAAAAATGTTTGCAAAATGAGTGAATGAAAAATCCTCTATATTGCTATGGACATGACATGAACTCAGAAAATCTATGAAGCTAAGTGAATTTCCCACATTTGGGGGCTAAAAGCAAAATGTTACGAAAGTAACTCACAGTATCTTTTGGTGGGTAAAGTGAAGCCTGTGAAAGGGAGTAGAGATATAATATTTCTATTCTTAGGGTGAAACAACACTTAGGAAGGATGAGAAATATTTGTCATCAAATATCTGTTGGCAACAAAAGGGGAAGATTATAGAAAATCATGAATCTAGTACAAGATCAAGTTTTCTAAGAGTTCCATACAACAGATCAGGAATGATTAAGAAAATGTTAGGTCTTCCATACTAAAATGAGTCTAGGAAAAGTAGAGAGAAATAAGTTGTAAGAAATATTAACAGTTTCGCAGCTGGGCGCAGTGGCTCACGTCTGTAATGCCAGCACTTTGGAAATCCAAGGCGGGCGGATCACTTCAGGTCACGAGTTTGAGACCAGCCTGGCCAACATGGTGAAATCCTGTCTCTACTAAAAATACAAAAATTAGCCAGGCATGGTGGTGGGCGCCTGTAAACCCAGTTACTTGGGAGGCTGAGGTGGGAGAATCACTTGAACCTGGAAGGCGGAGGCTACAGTGAGCCGAGATGGTACCCCTGCACTTCAGCCTGGGTGCCAGAACGAAGACTTCATCTCAAAAAAAAAAAAAAAAAAGAAAGAAAGAAATATTAACGCTTCAGTATCAAATACAGTGGAAATACAATCCACTTTTGAATAACTTTTCTTAAAATTATGCCCCACCTCACGTTCCTCTTCTTGTTCTTTGCGAATCTGCTCCAAACGAAACTGTTCTGCCATCTCTCTCTCATGAGCTTCCCTCTGTTGATAAAACAGAAAAGGAACAAGCACTTAACACAAACTTGTTTACAAAGAAAGAAAGAGAGAAATAAGGAAAGAGAAAGAAGAAAAGAGGAAAGAAAGAAAAAGTAAGTTACATTCAAAGGCTCATTGTCAACATGACTCAGAGGTATATTGTGGTAATAGAAACGTTTCTTTCTACAAGAATGGAAAGCAAAAACAAAGCATAGGTCTCTGATAATGTTAGGTTCCTATTCAAACACCTTTGATAGCTCTGAGTAAAGTGGCATTCAAGATCCTTCAGGACATCCTTTGGTCTTCCTTTCTGGCCTTTCCTATCTGCCCTGTACCCAAATCTAAAGCTATTTAATCAGCCTCTATCCATTTTCCATGCATTCTGGACCCTTGATGCTAGCTTATATTGCTTCCTCTTCCCTCCTACTGCTCTTTTTCTGTCCAGTTCACATATACCATCTCCTCTTTGAAACATTCCCAGTATAGTCCCACTCCCTGGCTCTCCAAAAAAAATAAAACCTGGAAAAAAGTTTCCACTGAAACTCCTACTCACTGAACTCTCACAGAACTCAGTGCTTCCCTTATGACACTTAGGATTCTTGGCTTATGTTACAGCTGCTTGTGTTCTTTACTTAATCAACTCTACCACATTGTGAAACTTCCTTTGAGAGCAGAAACTGTGGCCTATTCATTCACCTCTCCTCCAAAGCTCAACACAAAAGCAGGTACTTAAGAAGTATTCAATAAATCAATAGTTCCCAACCCTGACTACACATGAGAATCACCCAAAGAGCTTTCTAAAAATTGCTGGGTTCTATCATAGACCAACTAAAAAACAAATGAAATAGATACTAGGTTCATCTTGGTTTTCATTTTTCATGAAACAAACTTTATTTTTGTCAAAATGAACCATGCTTTAATAACCGTGGATAGGATTATATTCTTTCTGTTAACTAAATCTAGCTTTCTCTATTGCAAATCCAATATTTTTAGGGATCAAAGTGATAAAGGGTTGGCATTAAAATAATGAACAATTGAGTTATTTATCGCAGAAGTACCTGACCAAGCCTACCTTTGCTCTGTCAGCCTCAAGTGAAAGGCGATAGGCCTCATCTTGCTCTCTCTTCACATTTTCTCTGGCTTCACGTTCATCCTTAAAGAAAAAGATTGAAGCATTTTTTGACATATTACTTTTTTTTTTGAAAAAAGAGAAAAAAACTAATGGTAATCCTCTTTTTTTACTCCTATATGAACTTACAATTAAATAAGAGACTTTTAAAGTGTATAGGACATAAATAAGCAAATGAACAGTAAGATGAGCAGCATGGTACATAGTGGAAATAAGAATATTTGAATCCTAACTCTATAAACTGTGTGACTTTGTATAAGTTATTTAACTTCTCCAGGTCTCAGTCTCCTCACTTGCAAAACAGAAATAATATTTGTCTTACAGGGTCACTGTGAGAATTAAGTGCAATAATATATAAACTATCTAGCAAAGGACCTGGCACTTAGTTCATTTTCATTATTAGTTCTCTTCTCCCTTTCTCCTGATTTTTCTGAGATAAACTTGGAGACCGTCAGTATTGGAACTAAGGACTGAGAGGGAGAACAAAGACTAGGAAGTAATCCCTGGATCAGTGTAGAAGGAGGCCGAAAGCAAAATACTCTGGTTAACCCCATTCCATACCACACCACACCACACCACTAAAGCTCTGGTTACCAGTTAAGTATTTCCCCATTACATTCACACTCATGAAGTGTGAATAACAAAAGTTATCTAAGTTGAAAATCTCTTAGAATATTTTTAGCTTCTGAAGTGATTATACCATCTGCCCATATTTAAATCACGAATTCATTTAAAATTAAAAGTTAATTCATGAACAGAATTTCTCATCTGTTATAGTCAGAAGTATAGACGATATATACATATATACGTAACTTTAATAATAAATACCTACACCTGTCCACACTAGAGTGTAGGTTCCCTTTTTGGTCATTTATTTATTAGGCAGAACCATATAAAGTCACCAACATTTGTGACCTATAAAACTGGAAATTTCATAGCTAATTTCTCACTTTTTGTCTCTCCAATATATGCTTACTCAAGGCTGAATATATGCTCAGCATTCTCTTAGGTGAAATACCTAATCAAGACTGGCCTTATTCCTGAAGCCTAATACATTTTCTAGTTCCGATAATTCAATTAATTCTTAAAAGCTCTGGTATGAATAGGAACATTTCATTGCTTCCTAATCTTTCAAATAAAAATTAGAAAGAATTAGATGTTGCTGGCCTGAAGCTAATTGCTATAGTACAAAATAAGAAAAACCATGTTAAAACTGATGTCTACCCTTTCAGACATCTAAAAAGGATTAAACTTTTTTTTTATTTGAGGGGGAATCTTGCTCTGTCAACCAGGCTGGAGGGCAGTGGCGCGATCTCCACTCAATGAACCTCAGCCTGCTGGGTTCAAGTGATTCTCCTGCCTCAGCCTCCCGAGTAGCTGGGATTACACGCACCCAGCATCATGCCCAGCTAATTTTTGTATTTTTAGTAGAGATGGAGTTTCACCATATTAGCCAGGCTGGTCTCGAACTCCTGACCTCAAGTGATCTGCCTGCCTTGGCCTTCCAAAGTGCTAGGATTATAGGCGTAAGTCACCACGCCCAGCCAAGGGTTAAACTCCTAAGGATCCTATGCCTCTGTGGATAAGTCTATCTTTTCAAATTTAGATATCTCTTGAATGTAATCAACCAACTATGAGAATAATCTTACCTTTCTATATTTTAAATGGGGGAAATGCACAAGATGTTTAAAATTTTAATTTGACCTTACTTTCCTGACTTCACCCTTTCAAGTTATTTAAAGCTTCTCACAACATTCTGTACTTTCCCTCTAAAGCACTTACCATAACTGTAATTCATTATCATGTAATTATTTATTTAATGTGAAACTACCCCATGACACTGTAAGCTCCACAAAGGCAGAGAACTTGTCTATATTACATATGTCTGTATTCCACATACTGCCGAGTCTTTGGGAGGTGTTTAATAAGCATATGTTAAATAAATGAATTATCTTTCCAGGCATAAAATACTTATTGTCTACAGCAAAAATTAAAGAAAAAGATATAGCTCATCTACAAAATGGCTGGCCCAATCTGAGTCTGAAATTGACTGGCTGGGCAGGAATGACTTGTTATGCCACTATGTACACATAAAAAATGGACCTTCTAAAAGCAATCACAGCTGGAAGCCCTTTGATCACAAATATGGTTTATAATAAAAGCATTCTAAGTAAACAGCTCTGCTGACAAACAGACTACAGCAGATATGAAAGGCCATCAAATACAGGGATCTCTGCCACGAAATGTGGCACCTGGTGTATGTTCTTTACCTTGCTCACAGCTCTTCCTGACCATCCTGATAGATGGGCTGGCTTCGGCATGTGGCTCAGGATGAATTTTCCTAAATTTATCATGGTCATAGCTTCTTGTATGTTTGGTAGTTGTTGGTGAATAGTTATCATTTCTTCTTATCTGCTCCTCAGATTTTATACTTGCCTCTCCAACTGTCCTCTTCAGAGTCATCTCCAGTTTTGAGAAAGAAAACTGCTTATGTGTTTTCCCCATATTATTCTACATTATTAGATTTTTTAGAAAATCCCAGGTATTGTAGTTAACACTTAATGTATAAATTTGTTCTCATAACCTGTAGATTTGCCTCTGGAACTTATCTTGTGTCCTACAAATATTGTCCTTGTAGAGGTTCCCTTTGCTAAATCTAAGAGGGCATACCAAAGTAACTAGAAATTTTTACACATTGATTGGGTGGAGGTAGAACCGCTAGATTATGAGATTCAGAAACAGGTCTTAAGTGTTGCCTAGACTATGGCTTGGGTTACTTGTTATTCAAACACTCCTTGTCACACCAAAGTGAGAAGTTGGATTGCTCAGAAGTAAGTAATGGCCCCAGTAGGTAGCTTTCTTTGTAACATACTTGTCACTGCTCTCATATTGTGCTGTGCTACACTCATTTGTGTATTTGTCTCACTGTTCCCTACCTGAGCTGTACACTCCCAGGGGTAAAAGACTCTATTTCATATGTCTTTGTATTTCCTATAGCATCTAGTGTACTATCTTACATATGACAAGCATCTAAAATATATATTTGTTGGATAAATAAATGGAATTATCAGTGCTCAGTTATATACCAGAAATTCAGGAGCCTGTAAGTATTCTTCAATCTAGTAACTTTTATTTAAATATATTTTCTATCCTGAGTATTATAATGAGTTAGGAAGTACCAGAACTATAATTTACTTATTTTTAGTTAAAAATATTTTTTGGAGTACATAGTAGGTCAATGTATTTATGGGATATGGGAGATATTTTGATACAGGCATGCAATGGGTATAATCACATCACAGAAAATGGGGTGTCCGTCCCCTCAAGCATTTATCCTTTGTCACAAACAATCCAGTTAGAAGTACAATTATTTTGACTATAGTTACCCTGTTGTGCTATCAAAGGCTGGTATTATTCACTGTTTCCATATTTTTTGTACCCATTAACCACTACACCTTCCCCCTAACCACAGACCTTCTCCCACACCCCACTGCCCTTCCTAGCCTCTGGTAATCATCCTTCTACTCTCTATCTCCATGTGTTTAATTGTTTTGATTTTTACATCCTACAAATAAGTGAGAACATGTAACGTTTGTAGTTCTGTGCCTGACTTATTTCACATAACATAATGGCCTCCAGTTCCATCCATGTTGTTGCAAATCACAGGATCTAATTCTTTTTTACAGCTAAATAGTACTCTTGTGTATATGTACCATTATTTTCTTTATCTATTTGCCTATTAATGGACATTTAGGTTGCTTCCAAATCTTGGCTACTGTGAACAATGCTGCAACAATTATATTAGTACAGATATCTCTTTGATATACTGATTTCCCTTCCTTTGGGTATATACCCAGCAGTGGGATTGCTGGATCATATGGTAGCTCTATTTTCAGTTTTTAAAGGAACCTCTACACTGTTCTCCATGGTGGCTGTACTAATTTACATTCCCAGTAACAGTGTACAAGGGTTCCCTTTTCTCCACATCCTCTCCAACATTTGTTATTCCCTGTTTGGGGGATAAAAGTCAGTTTACCTGAGATGAGATGATATCTTACTGTAGTTCTGATCTGTATCAGAATTAGAATTTAAATATAGTCATTCTCACCATAAAGCCTGTTTTTTCCCCACTGTGGCACACTAGGTAGTTCAGCATAGTCCTCTATCTCCGAGACAGTAGCCATTGAATTTTACTACAATTCACTGAAAATGATGTCTATTAAAAATAAAATATTTTATGAGTTGCCAAATGGTTCCTAAAGTAAGAATTTAACAAAAAAATGAAATTTAGATGTAATTTATTACACCCTCAGTAGTGTTAAAGATTAATAATCATCAGTTAATTCCTAAAAGACTAATTCAAAATTCCGAATTATCAAACTGAAGTGGCTATAGACTTTTTTCAAATACTTAGCAAATGCATATACACATAGAACATTTACTGGTTTTCTGAATGCCCAGGTTAGAATGCATACTCTGCTCCTTGCTCTACCAATAGGTCCTTGTCAACAGAGACATGGCCCTGCTATCTATCTCTAGAGATACAGATCAAGATAACCTGAAGTTCTCTCAATATAAATACTTAGAGATAATAGGTAAAATACAACAAATATGTTCAAAAGTATTACTAAGCATATCAGAAAGAAAGAAAGAAAGAGAAGTTTCTAGGTACCAGAAATAAAGAGGAAACTCAAAGTGAGAGATATAAATGATGAGGTAATTCAAAACCTGACAAGGTAGGTCATCCGTCTTGATAACCTAGAAGCCCCACTGTGATCAGAGATCTCATTTTGGACTTAAGCAAGGTGAGGAGGTATAAAAATCATCTCTGGAGACCAGACGCAGTGGCTCATGCCTGTAATCCCAGCACTTGGGAGGCCAAGGCGGGTGGATCACCTGAAGTCAGGAGTTTGAGACCAGCCTGACCGCCATGATGAAACATGTCTACCAAGTACAAAAAATTAGCTGGGCATGGTGGCATATGCCTGTAATCCCAGCTCTTTGGGAGGCTGAGGCAGGGGAAT